ATGACGATGGATTCGCCGCCTACACCTTCCGCAATGGCAAGAGCTAAGGCGGTGTGGCGAACGATGTCAGAGCTGAGGAAGATCAACGCCCAGAGGAAGGTTCAGACCGCGTTAAATACGCGTAATGGGCCTGATACAGCGTTGCGCCTGCCCCTATCCCTGGCGCTAGGAAGCGAAGTTCGCGTATTTCGCGAGAAGCACGGATGGCAAGGCCCATATAAAGTGCTCGAGGTGACGGATACGGAAATCGCAGTTGACCTGGACAACGGACCAGCGAAATTTCGCAGTACATGCGTCCAACCGTACTATCGTCACCCGGAATCGCTCCTTCCTCAGTTGCAACCCGACCCTAGCCCTAGCCGCACAGACCCATCAACACAACAATCACTCCTTCCTCAACACAATCCGATCAACAACATCCTCTTCAAAACCCTCTTCCCTTCCACCCACAACTCAACAACCTCTTCCTCTTCCTACCACAGAAGACCAACCCAAACCTTTCGAATACCCTGAGCCAAAGAGGCCGCGCAGGCGTGGCCGACCTAGGAAGGATGCTGCACAAAATGGCACATCAGAATCCACTATTGTTTGCTCACCCGTTCAATTTATCGTTCATCATGAAGCTAATGCGTTTCTTGTTCGAAAAGAAATGGAACATCTCGGCCTAGCCAAGCGGCTACGAGCTGAAGGAAAGATCACAAGCACCGGTTTCCCATTTGAAGCTTCCGACACACTCGAGCTCACGAACCTCCTCGCCGCTGGGGTCATTGTACCCGAAGAATTCGATGCGAATAAACATGGTGGATATCGTGTCTTCAAATCACGAATGGTCAGAGAGGTTAAGGGAAGAAATACTGCAACGCCATACGAGAAATCACGCCTCGTTGTGCAAGGATACAATGATGATGGGAAACGTGGGATCCTCACACAAGCCCCTACCATCAGCCGGCCCGCACAACGCGTGGCCTTGGCCTTAGCACCGTTTCTCTGCACACGGGATATGTTCATCATGATCAGAGACATCACGATGGCATACACACAATCCCAGACCAAGCTGGCCCGTGTCATCCTTGCAGCCCTTCCTCAAGAACTCAAAAGAAGATATCCAGAGGGAACAATCCTGCGAATCGTGAAGCCGCTATATGGCATCGCAGAGGCAGGAGCCCACTGGTTCAACACATATCACGACCATCACTGCCGCAAGCTTAATATGGAAACCTCTTCGTTTGACCCGTGCCTTCTGATCACGGCAAACAACATCGCCGACAAGGACCTGTTTGGCATCGCGGCCTTGCAAACGGATGACACATTCATTGTTGGCACAGATGCATTTCTCAAGATCGAGGAGAAAGAACTCTGCTTTAAGGCCAAGCCAAAAGAGATTCTCCAAGAAGGTTCCATCTGCGACTTTAACGGCAGCCGCCTGACCATACAAAATGGCTGTGTCATCGTCAGGCAGAAGGGCCAAGCCCAAAACCTCGAGGAGATCAATCTTCAGGCATCAAGTAGGCATCAGGATTATGCTGCTCAACGCGCCTGGGGCATATATCGCTTCGATTTGCCAACCCGAAGCAACATACGATTGTTCCGTTGCGGCACAAGCCCAAGAGCCCGTTAATACCGACTTCAAGGCTTTGAACAAGCGGATTGAATGGCAGATCAACAATCCCGACCGTGGCCTATGTTACATACCCATCGATCTCGAGCGCGAAGATCTTTGTGTTCACCGATGGATCATTCGCCAACAATAAGGATTTAAGCTCTCAAATCGGCTTTGTGATTATCATCGCCAATGAGACCGCGCAATCAACCGATTCATTTTCCATCCGCGGAAACATTCTTCATTGGAGCTCAACTAAATGCAAGCGCGTTACTCGAAGCGTTCTTGCATCAGAGATCTATGGATTGACATCGGGCTTCGATCTCGCATTTGTGATCAAGCAAACGGTCAATACGATCGCACAACGCCTTGATCTGAAGCAAATCCCGCTCGTCATTTGCACAGATTCATATAGCCTCTATGAGTGCCTCGTCAAACTTGGCACCACAACAGAGAAGCGACTCATGATAGATATCATGGCGCTGAGGCAGGCATATGAATCAAGGGATATTGCGGAAATCCGTTGGGTCAACGGCGCAGATAACCCTGCCGATGCTATGACGAAGGCATCACCAAACAGCGCCCTCACGCAGTTTATTAGCGACAATCAGCTAAACGTGAGGGTGGAAGGATTCGTTCATCGCAATAACACAACAATTCTCGACGAGATTTAATCGGTTTTTTCGTTCCTTCTTCTGCTTTACCGTCGTTCTTTTATTCCATTCACATTAACGAGGAGATCCTCGTGTCCATATTCCAACGTGGGACCGATGGAATCAGCTAGCGCATCCGGCGCTCGAAATGCGGCCCATGATGGCGTGTGGCAGAACACACCCAGTGTGGGGAGGAGAGCTACAGTCAGAGCACACTATCCAACATAGTGATGCATCGTGGTAGGAGTTTGTTGGTGTTCTTGTTCGTGTTTTTCCTATCTCATCTTAATTCGCTGTGTTTGGTGTGTTTTGGTGGATTGATTAGTGCGCGATCATCGATTTAGAAAGAGGTTCCAGTGTTGGATCCACCTGTGCACTAGGCACCGATCGCGCACGTATAACTAATCGACCGCGCTAGTCACGTGCGAGTAAGAGGTGAGACACAGGGAGGAAGGTCTTTGCACACAGTTTGTATGGGACACGTTTCCCTAGTTACACAAGATATAACCAATTGAACCAGTTCGAATAACCTCACTGCAGTGAAGAGCCTGTCCACACTATACGAACTCATTTCACGCTCTTATTGGTGGCCAAAGCTTAGCGCCGATACGAAACAATTCACACGCAATTGCCACGGATGTCTGAGGAACAAAACCTCCCAGTTGCGGTACCAGGGGACATTGAAACCGCTCCCAATTCCCTTGCAAAGATGGAGAGACTTATCCGTTGACTTCATTGGCCCAATTCAGCGCACAGCTCGTGGATTCAACGCAATCATGGTGGTAGTCGATAGGCTGTCAAAGGACAGACATTTCACGCCCTGCAAGACCGACATGAAAACACATGACTTGGCAACACTCTTCGTACGAGATGTCTGGAAACTCCATGGACTACCGGATTCAATCGTGTCTGATAGAGGACCACTGTTTGTCTCGGAATTCTGGAAAGCGGTTTGCCACCGTCTACGGATCAATATCAGCCTTTCTACAGCATATCACCCCGAAACTGACGGCCAGACGGAAAACGCTAACTCATTTCTCGAACAATACCTTCGCCAATATGTTAGCTTTGCTCAGGACGACTGGGACGAGTGGCTCCCATTGGCCGAATTCGCAGCCCGTAACGTTGTCAGCGATTCAACGGGAATGTCCCCATTTTTTGCGAACACAGGCTATCACCCCCGAATGAGCTTTGGTCCCCCTCGCGCAATACCACTCGCGGCATCCAAAGACCTGGCAGAACGCTGCAACGAGGGGAACGAATTTGTCGCCAAGATGCAAGAAATCACTGATCTACTTCGGACAAACCTGCTCTCAGCTCAAGCCTCACAAGAGCAGTTCGCCAACGCAAATAGATCACCGGCGCCAGCTTACCGAGTTGGAGACATGGTGCTACTTAGCACACGCAACATTGATTCAGCCCGACCCATCCCAAAACTAGATCACAAGTTCATTGGCCCTTTTCGAATCGAGCGCGTGCTCAACCCTCACTCCTACCAACTGAAGTTGCCACATGAACTAGACTCAATTCACAATTCATTTCACACCAACCTCCTGCGACCGTCACCAAACGACCCGCTCCCCGGCCAATACAACACACCGCCCCCACCAATAACGCTAGATGCAAAGGGGGAGAAACTCTGGGCGATTGAAGAAATACTGGACTCGAAACGCACAAAACAGAAAGGCTTCCAGTACCATATACTATGGAGAGGCTTCGACCTTGAGCAGGCAACATGGGAACCACTACACAACGTCGTCAACGCTCACATCGCCATCAAAGAGTTCGAGAAGCACAACAAAAACAAACCCAGACCGACGAAACAAGAAGCGCAAAATGCTCGCCTACAGGCTCAGCAAGACGTGGAAGAATCAGAAGCGATGGAGTAAAGGAGGCCCATGTGTGAGGAACGATCATGTGACTTTCATACTTTATGAAAGGTCCCGCTTTTATTCATGTAAATAGCGAAAGTCAGAGTCTTCCTTAGGAACCTCTTTCTCTCTTGTAGACAATCACTTTACCCAAGTCGCACTCGACCTTGTTCGTGCACTTGTACCGTCACAGGATCACTCTGTCGGCTGCCTGCTGGTGTATTTCGCCGGGGTTCTGGTTGTGCCTTGCTAGTCGAGAGACCGCAAAAGCAACATCCGGCCTCGTTGAGATAGCCGCAAATAGTATAGATCCAACCTTTTGCAGAAATCTGTGTAAATAACCCTTCTCTGCTTGGCTCGTTGAGGGAAGCAGTTCCTCAGATGCCATTGGAGTATCAGGGGGATTTGAGACGAGCCTGCTTGGGTCTAGGAGCTTATGGGCGATCTTCTCGATATAGGCGTCTTGCGTCAGCCAAATCGTTCGTTGAGATCTATCCCTAAGGATGTGTATCCCGAGGAACCACCTAGGCTCTCCAAGAAGCGTCATTTGATATCGAGCTTGAAGCCCTCTTATCGCTTCCTTTGCAACCTCCTGGTCTCCTTTCTTATAGGCCCAGATGATATCGTCCACGTAAAGAAGACAAGAATTGCTCCTTTCTCATAACACAGGGTTCTTGTGGGACTGTCTGAAAGCCTAGGGATTTAAGGGACCCGGTAAGGTGTTGTTGCCAAAGGAGTGGCGATCGTCGTAGGCCATAGAGGGCCTTCCTAAGTAGCAGAACTCTGCCTGGCTTAACGAATCCGGGAGGCATCCTCATATAGACTACCTCGTCCTCGAGTGGGCAGTTGACGAAGGCGTTGACTGCATCCATTTGATCAAGCTCGAGGTCGAATTCTGCCGAAATCGCCATTAGGGCCCTGAACGACATCCCGGCTAAGGTCGTAGCCCGGTAGGAAGGTCCCCTTTTCCTGCTGGTTGCCGCAGACCACGAGACGAGCTTTGCACTTTTGAAGGATCCCGTGCTTGTCTGTCTTGTAAATAAAGACCCACTTGCAGCCTAGAATTTGCTTGCCGGCAGCCCTCTTCCAAGGAACCTCGAGAAAGGACCCCATCTCCTCGTGTGAGGCAAGGTGGTCTTTCTGAGCTTTGATGAATTCCTCTTTATAAGGGTGCCTTTCGAGCTGCTTCTGTGTCTCTGGCGGTTCGGGTAGGTTCTTCTTATGCGGCCCTTGTGTCTTTGGCTTGAAGATTCGTCCAGCATTGAAGGTTCCATGGAGCATATTCCTGATCTTCTGGGGATAGAAGTCCCGAAATCGGTCTTGAAATTGATCTTCCTGGCGTATCCTGTATGATCAAGTGGCTCCTGCGTTAAGTGCTCCAAGAAGGTAACTCTTTTCTTCTTAGGAGTCGAAACCGAAGGATTTATTAACGCAGATTTCCTCCCCACCCCCTCAGGGGTAGCGACAGGAAGAAATACTGATAGAACGGCTTGAAATTCATCTTCAGATGGCGGCGGCGTTAGCAAGAGTTCCTCGTTGGCTTTTTCTTGGTCTTGTGCCTCCTCCTCGTCAGATTCTTCTTCAAAGAGGTCTTCTTCCTCAGACTCGGATTCTTCATCAAGGATTTCCTGATTTACTTGCTGATCCTCTGGAATAGAGACTTTTTCGACTAGCTCGTCGATATTTGCAAGCAGCGGTGGTTGCTCGAGCTTGCCGTCGAAGAAGGTTCTTTCGTCGAATGTAACGTCCCGGGTTGAAATAACCTTCCGAAGCAAGGGAACCCATATCCTAAAGATATTCGTAGAACTATAACCAACCAGGTAGCCGATGTGAGTTCTTGGATCGAGCTTTTGTAGCCTTCTCCTCTTCAACTGTGCGTTGGCAGTCATTGCGTAGGCCCTACAGCCGTACGCCTGAAGAGTTGCATGCTGGTTGTGGTCGGGTTCCTTCTTTTTTGTAAATAGCTCCAAAGGGGTCATCCACAGCTGTCGATGCAGATTCTCCTGATCAGAAGGTCTTGATAAGTCCGGTCTGGCTTTTGGATTCCGTGGGGTCCTGTTTTTCAAATAACAGGCCGCTTCCACGTCTCTTTCCAAAGATCGTGAGGAAGCTTTGCAGCTATCCTCATCTTGCGGGCCCTCTCCATTAGGGCACCTCCTGATCTCTCGGCACCTCCATTCTGGGATTGGGTGTTTGGGGACGAGGTTCTGCTGAGATACCCTTCTTTCGAAGCCACTTCTTAGTTGCCTTAGTAAAGAGTTCTCCGTCTGAACGAATGGTCTTTACACTATAGTCAAATCGAAGCTTCATCCAGCTAACGAAGTCCCTAAGTGCCCCCAGTTGTGTTTGTTTTGATAGGTCCGGAGAAAGTAGGGAAAATCATGCCTGAATAGGCGTCTGTTATGAACATCACTCGAACGAATCCCTTATAATCAGGGGATAGGTCGGTCCAGTCGATCCAGATTTCTTCGCAAGGATGACTTCGATCCTTATTCGGGGTTCGCCTTGAGACCTGTCTATAGGCCCTTCCTTGGGCGCATGGTTCGTGTCACACATAGGATATCAGCCTCCAACAGTCTGACCCCCTATTCGCACAGTCCGTTTCCACATTTCCCCACAGAAACTTCTAGGAGGCATCATCAACGCATCAGTGGCTTCCAGATGATCTGATCAGATGCTTCCATTCACTACCATTCCCTTCCATTCTCATATTCAGGCAGTCTATAAAGATCTCGCCTCTTTCCCACCTTAGATAGCAGAATCAAGAGTCTTCCAGTCCCTGATCTTTATGCCCACTTGCTCATCCTCCGTGCGATAGTTATGAGCCCGGTCTGCCATTGACTGGGTATCTTATTCTCGTTCATTCCGCTGCGCAGAATAGCTTCCACAATGAGCTCAGCTCTAGATCTTGATGGCTCTTCCAAGGGCACCGTGCTCAACGGCCCTTGCGACTGGAAACAATGGATTTCTATCATCAAGAAATTCGCCACGTCCCACAGTCTTTGGGACTTTCTGGACCCTGCCGTCAAGGAGGGTAAGCCGGTTCTTCAGCAGCCAGTTGAACCAACATTCCGACAAATCAACCACGAAGCATCTGATCTCGTGGATCTGACCTCGGAGGAATTTCGCCGTCTCGAATTCCTCCACACCCAATACCGCTCGAAGCTTCAAGGGTATAGGGATCAAGTGAAGGCACTCGCCAGCCTTCAACAACACATCGTCAAGACCATCGGCAACTACTACAGCACCATTGCCGAGGAACACGACGTTGCAAAGCAACTTGCCTTGCTTCAGGCTCGTGTGGCCCCAACCGACTGGGCACTCGAGAGGAAGTTGTTCAGCGTTATCGTTCCACCCTTCAGTCGCCAAACAGGACCAAGATCGAAGCTTGGGTCACCCAATGGCAGAAAGTCCTCACTGAGGCAAAGCAATTAGGGCTTCCTGATGTCCAGGACCTTCGCCCTACCCAAGATTTCCTACAGGCTGTTTCGTCCATCAACGCCCCATTCACAGACTATTGGGTCAACAAAATGGAAGACGAGGCCGTATTCGGCAAGCCTGATTGGAAGACCGACTTCCCGGACGGCATTAAGATCAGTGAGATCTTTGAACGAGCTCACCGAATCAAGGCCGCCAACAACAGCAAAGGATCATTCGGAGCTGCCTTCCAAGGCAAGGGAGAGAAATCGGAGAGGAAGAGGACAAGCCTAAGTGGTCTTCAAGCAAGAACGCTGATGGTGTTCCTATGTGTGTCTGCGGAGAATATCACCGCTTCGTAGATTGCTTCTATCTCATCAAATCAGCTCGGCCTGATGGCTGGACTCCTGATCAGAAGGTTGAGAAGAAGATCAAGAAATCCTCGACTCCAATCCATGGGCAAAGAAGATGACGGAGAAAGCACAAGACTTCAAGAAGAAGGAAATGGAGAAATCGTCCGACTCCTCCGTTAAAGGCACAGCGTTTGCCGGTCTTCTACCAGCTCCTGACAACACACCGCCTCCCTCAACACCTCCATCAACCAGTTTCTCGACGGGAAAGGCAGTCTACCCGCTGTATGACTCCTTTATCCTTGATTCCGGATCAGACACACACATTTGCAACAACCGATCCCGTTTTCTTGACTACACCGCCCTTGCAGAGCCAGAAGAGCTCTTTGCAGGCGATAGTCAACTTCAGATCCTTGGCTACGGCACAGTCCGTATGAAGCTTGAAGAAGGAGGACTTTTCAGCTCAACGAAGTTGCCTTCGTGCCAAAATTCCACACCAACATCGCATCCCTCGACCGCTTTCTTGCGAAGGGATACAACTGGAATCCACTATCTGGACGCGTCTCTAAAGACGATCAGATTATATTTCATACGAAACGCCGCTTTCGTCAACCGGTCATCGAGTTCAACCCGATTAAGGAGGACTCTCACGCCTCCAACTTCACATCTTCATCTGCACCTCGCGCAGTGAAAACAGCAGATGCTACGCTTTGGCATAAGCGCCTAGGTCACTTGAACGCTCAAGCCCTAGAGCATCTTGTTGAGAACACGACGGGTTCGAAGATCAAAGGCCCAGTTACCATCGATTGCACCGCGTGTTCCCTTGGGAAGGGAAAGAAGGTCGTCTCTCGCCGAACCCCTCAAAACCGAGCCCCAGACCATTCTGGAGAATCTACGTTGATATCTTCAGTATGAACACCTCATTCAACGGCAAGGAAGCTGTTCTTCTTATCAAAGATGAATTTACAAGCATGATCTTCATCTACCTTCTGAATGACGCGACACAAGGGTCCGTTATGACTGCTTTGAGAAACCACGAGGCAATGGTTCAACGCCAATGGAATCTCAACATTTGCATTATCCACCGTGATAACGATCGTTCTCTTCAGAGTGCGTATGAGAGCTGGATCGAGGAAAGGGGATTCAAGATGAACCTTCTGCCCCTTACACTCCGCTCAAAACGGTTCTGCAGAGCGATCTGGGGGGGTAATATCTGCCCAGGCCAGAACAATGGGAATTGATGCCAATTTACCATCTGATCTTTGGCCAGAGACTTGGAAAGCTGCAGTGTTTTTGCACAACAGATCGCCCATGCAGAACCACAGCTTCCGAACGCCTTTCAGCTGCTTCATCAGTGGCTGCGAGACAACAACAGAGACATAGGCTACCAGCAAGACCAGCCTGACATCACGTTTCTCAAGGCATACGGCTGCAGAGCCTATCCTTGACACCCCAGGCCCTTCAGAACAGACAGAAGAAGGACCTAAAGACCGACCCTCACACAGAAATCGGTTATCTCGTTGGATATGATTCCACGAACATTTTCAGGATCTGGATTCCGTCCACATCAGAAGTCCGAAGGGTCCGAGATGTGACCTTCAATGAAAGCATCTTCTATGACGGAAATGATCAGCCACCAGAACCTATCCCACAGCGCGTGGAAGTACAGCTTCCAGCCCACATCGAGGACGAGTCGGATTACGAGGAAATCCCCACTCAAATCGATGAACCTGAACCTGACCCCGTTGAGCAATCTCCTCAACCTCAGACCAAGGAGACGCCACCACGATTGTGGTACAACCCGAACCATCTGATCATGAGGACTCGGATGATCAGGATGAGTTTCATGACATTCAGCACCCATATCCGACACCGGACCCCGGTCCGAGTGACTCTCAGCCACGGCGCTCAGCCCGCACTCCAAAGCCTCGCAAGCTCAGTGCTTTTCGACCAACACTAAGGGTCAATTCCACAGCTCTTTCTTTCTCGGCAGAGAAAAAACTTCACAGACGACACCTTCCTCCCGAACCTACGACGTATAAGGAACTTCGCACCCACAGATTTGGTCCTCAGTTCAGAGAAGGAGCCCACGCCGAGTGGAAAGCACTCCAACAGAGAGGAACCTTCAGAGCGGTCCCCAGAGACCAGGTCACGGGCAAGCTTTTGCCACTTACCTGGGTCTTTAAGTATAAGTTCGACAAGCATGGCTTTCTTACAAAGTTCAAAGCCCGTCTTTGTGTTCGAGGAGATCTTCAACAGCTAGGTGACAAGGACACCTATGCAGCAACCCTTGCAGGACGTTCTTTCCGGATTCTCATGGCCATCACCGCCAAATTCGACCTTGAGACCCGACAGCTCGACGCAGTTAATGCCTTCACAAACGCCCTCTTAGAAGACGAGGAGGAGGTCTATGTAGCCTTCCCAGACGGATACTACAGACAGGGATGGGCTCTTCGCCTCATGCGAGCCCTCTATGGCCTCCGACGGTCCCCTCTTCTTTGGCAGAAGGAACTCACTGCTGCATTCAGAGAGCTTGGTCTTACACAGTGTCCCGACGAACCCTGCATCTTCCAGAACGACTGGCTCACTGTTTTCTTCTTCGTTGACGATATTGTTTTCCTCTATCGCAAGGAAAACGAGGACGCAGCTGATGAGATGGTTGCAGCCCTCAAGAGGAAGTACGCGATGACAGACCAAGGGAATTACAATGGTTCCTTGGTATCAGACTCTACGTTGCTAGGGATCTAGTTTCTTTCTTCAGTTTGCACTGCCCACTAGCCAGCACAACCTGGGGGGGTATGTCACACATAGGATATCAGCCTCCAACAGTCTGACCCCTATTCGCACAGTCCGTTTCCACATTTCTTCCACAGAAACTTCTAGGAGGCATCATCAACGCATCAGTGGCTTCCAGATGATCCGATCAGATGCTTCCATTCACTACCATTCCCTTCCATTCTCATATTCAGGCAGTCTATAAAGATCTCGCCTCTTTCCCACCTTAGATAGCAGAATCAAGAGTCTTCCAGTCCCTGATCTTTATGCCCACTTGCTCATCCTCCGTGCGATAGTTCGCACTCAACGGTCCTTGGGCCCTTAATGCGAATACCCTTTCGTTGGCC